CCGGACCCCGGACAGGGCCACGGACGGGCCGCCGAGTCCGCACCCAGGTGAGCCTGTCTCTCGGCTGCCGCGTCCGTCACTCGGTCACTTCGGGGCTTTTGTCATTACCTGCCCGGCGGCCGCTGCAGGGGGAGCCCCACTCTTCAGACGCTGACGCTCTCTTCTCCACGTAAATAAAACCGTGCAAAATTGTGCTTTCCCAAGAGGTAGAGCGGGTAGGGGGACGTAGGAGGAGACCGTCCAGAAGGGGACAGTGAGGAACACGGGACTCCGCTCTTTTTCGCGTAAATTCTAGCCCGTGGTTGCGGATGGAACCGAGAGTTGCCCTCTGCCCCCTCCTGAGCCCTGACTGTGTGCTGTGCCCACGAGGGGCGACTCATTCATTATCCAGTGGACAAGTGACTGACTGCAAGCAGGGGGTGGGTGGGGGGAGAGTAAATAAGGAAAATACGTTTACTGTTCTCTCTACTGAGTCATGAACGTTTTATATGTTCTCTCTAAGCCCACTCATGATTATTTCCTTGAAATCAATTGCTAGAAGGATTCGAAGGAATGTATGTTTTAGGGCATCGGACACTGATTACTAAATTAGCCTCCAGAGCATGTGGACCTGCTTGCATTTGCACCTGCGGTGTCTGGGATTATTGCTATCATTTTCTGTTTTGGTCAAGTTGATAGGGAAATATGTTATCAGATTGTCTTGTTTGCACTTTTCTGACTACTAGTGAGCTCACGTGTTTTTCATATATTCCCTGTGCCTTTCACTGTGCATTTGGCTTCTTCTTTTATTAATTGCCTGTTTATGTCTTTTGCTTTTTTTCTACATAGATGTTTGTCGCATTCATTTGTAAGATTCCTTTACATAATGAAACTCTGCACATGTCATGTATGAGACACAATATCTCACATCGTGAGTAACAGGACTTTAAGCTGTGAATTGCCAGTGAATACCTTGGGCTACTAAACCTCCCTGTGCCTCACTCTTGTCTTTGGAATCATAACAGATGAAAAATAAGGACCCTGGAGACATCCTGTTCTGAATGCGGTTGTATAATGAATTGTCCGTAAGGAATGCTTCCTCTTCTTAGCATGTGTTCATTCTGACTCCAACTCTACCCAGGTCTTTGCAACATATCCCTCCCTTCTGCATATTGTGGGTAGTAGATTTCTTTCCCACGTGTCTTCTGTCTTCCAGGATTTCTTCACCATCGCAAACTCCCAATGGCATTTTTTTCTTGTTTTCCAGTGCCACCGTGGATTACTCTTTTTTAAAATATTTTTTTCTGCCAAGTTTAAAAGATTTGGGAATGAGGAGAAAGAGACTGGGGTGCTCAATCTGCCACTGGGATTAAATCCCTAAAAACAGTCGTTCATTACAGTTTAATTTTTTGTTTGACACAAAATGAAGTTGTAAAATGGGATCCATGTTTGTTTTGTTTTTTTGTTGTGCTTTTATTTGGGGGGCTGGCCAGTAAGAGGATCTGAACCCTTGACCTTGGTGTTATCAGCACCATGTAAGCTAACCTGCCAGCTATGGTTTTGTTTTTTAAAAAAAATCTCAAGGTGATTGAATTTTTTGTTAGTGCTTCCCTTTTCTTGATAATTTGCCGAGAATGTCATCTATAAATTTTCTGCCTATTACTACTTTTTGATATTTCTCCTGGTCCATAAATGGCCAGTTGTCATAAATGTTGCATGAGCGTGGAAAAAGACACGTGTCTGTTCTGAGATGTGAAATGGATACATAAAGCAAGTCAGTTAAGTCACCTCTGCTAATCGTGCCTTTCATGTGGCCTTTTTTTCACATGCCATTCGTGTTGAAGATCTTGGGTGATTTATTATTATTATTATTATTTTTTCCTTTTTTGTCTTTTTTACTGACCAGTAACGGGATCGCAACCCTCAGTGTCGCGCCCTTACCGGGGACCGGCAACGGGATCACAACCCTCGGTGTTGCGCCCACACCGTGCTCAGCCAGTGAGCGGGAACCGGTCTCCACATGGGATCTGAACCCTTGATGGGAGCGCCGCTGCACTCCCAAGCAGCGCACTCTCCAGTGCGCCACCGGGCCGGCCCCGATCTTGGGTGATTTATTAAAGAGTCTAAACATTATCAGGTTTCCATCTTTCCACCCACTTTTGGGTAGTTCTTTTTTCATGAGCATTGCTAGCACAGAGCTTAAGCTAGCCCAGGCCACCTTGTTTAACCCAGCCCAGTGTGTCATAGAGCATGGTATTTAACGACCATGTGCCTGGAACCAGAAATTCTGGGCTTGTTCCCAGCTCTGCGTCTCAGTGTTCTCAACAGTATAAATGGGCGCAATCAAAGCAACCATCTTGCAAGGGTTTTGAGAAGATTAGATAAGCGACTGCATATGAAACCCTTAGAACAAAGTCCGGTGTACTGGAAACACTCAATAAATATTAGCTATTTTTAATATCTGCCTAATGTTTACCAACAGCCCCTTTGGGACTTCAGCATCACAGTGTCTTTTGTTCACTCTCGACCTCCATTGTTGTGGGGAATTGTCATTGTTTCCTGTACCCATGAGTATTAGGCAGACGTTCTCCTGCAGACTGCTAAGGGATGCTTTGGCGACCAGCATGCCTGCCTTTAGATGCCCGTTCAATGCAGAGAGCAGCTCCCTGCACTCCTCGGATTCTTTGCTTCTATTTTCTTATTGTGCCTCTTTCTGTAGGATGTTCCCCATGACCAAGGCCTTGGAAGAGGCTCTTCTTCAGCACTTCATATACCAGAAGCTGGAGATCGCCTATGCCGTACACAAGCCATTTCCCTTCTTTGAAGGCCTCCTAGACAACTCCCTCATCACCGAGAGGATGTACAGGGTAAGTCATGTTGGTCCTTTCCCATGGCAGCCCATCCCCCATCAAGTATGCCCGATTATTGAGGTCTTGGCCAGTTTGGTGAGCTGGTTAAAGCATAGCCTTATAACCCAAAGGTCATAGATTCAGATCCCTGTACAGGTCTGCCATGCTCCCCACCAAAAAAAAGAAATTACCACGAGATAGGATTTTTGAAGTCTCAAACACAGACCCCCAGCGCCTCTAGAGTTTGGAAGGCCCAGCCCAGGCGTGTTCATTATCACAGAAGTTGGGAGAGAGGGTATCATAGGGGCTGGCATTAGTTTCTACAGCTGCCATAAGAAATGACTACAAACCAGGAAGCTTAAAACTACAGAAATTAATTTTTTCACAGTTCTAGAGGCCAGAAATCCAAAATCAAGGTGTCGACAGACTTGGTTGTTTCTAGAGGCTCTGAGGAGAGTCCATTCCCTGCCTCTGCCCTGGCTGCTGGGGGCTGCTGGCAATTCTTGGTGTCCCTCGGCTTGTAGACACATCATGCCAATCTCTGTTTCCATCTCTACATTGCCTTCTCTCTTTTGTGTCTTCTCCCCTTTCCTTCTAAGAACAATTGGATTTAGGGCCCACCCTAATCCAGGATAATCTCATCTCAAGATCCTTAACTTAATTATATCTGTAAAGACCCTTTTTCCAAATAAGTTCACATTCACGGGTTTTGAATGGACACATCTGGGGGGCCGCCATTCACCCACTTCAGGCATCATCCCACGTATAAGAGCTTATGGCTCACATTGCATTCTGATGTGAAGCTGGCAGCCACTGAGAGATGGGCTATGTAGGCAAAAGTGGCACTCTTTATGCATAATTTTGGTTTTCGTAAGCATTTCCTGAGACCTGGACCCAAGGAAGGGCTTGCAGTGGTAGAACAGTCTTCCCCCCGTCTTGGCCTGGTGAGCTCCTGCTCCTCTTCAGATCGCAGCACTCCTCAGAGGGGTCTCCTTGACACGCTCATCTCACTGAGACCCGCTGGCAATCTACACTTTCCCTTCATGACACTGCTCTCAATTGTAATCGGGCACCTATTTAATTTGTATTTGTCATGTAATGCTCATCTTCTCCACCTGACAGTGCCCCCTTCCAAATATGGGCAGCACTAAGTTGATCTTACCTGGTGCTGTGTATGCATGGACTAGCTCAGGAAGCCCAGCGGGCGCTCAGTAAGTACTTCTCAATCAGTTCTCTCCTGCCATCTTTCTCCTTTTGTCTGTACTCTAAGCAAGAGGAATTCTCTGATCTCCCCATGGCTGGAACCCATTCAGGCCACCTTAAGGTGAGAGAGAGAATGAGAGAGACAGACAGACAGACAGAGCGCCTAGGCTAACAAGCAATTAACAGAATTGCATCTGGGACCACCTGTTAGGTCCATGGCCAAAGTATTCTGCCCAGAGCTTAAAGAATTAACCAGACAATAGCATCCTTTGACTCCACTTTCCTTCCTTAACATTTCTATCTCCCCTTAAATGTACCTGAAAGTAAGGTTCACAAAACAGACTTACTTTAAAGAGGGCTAAATTATTTCTTCCTATGATGAGGCATCCAAATATATATGAAGGTCCAAAAGTAAAAATGTGGAACTGTGATCTTAGAGGATTTGACTGTACGTCTTATGTTAAATTTCTTTTTTAAGAGTAAACTAGCATTTTTACAACTTAGAAAACCACAGATGTGTAATAACGCTCCATCCAATTTTATAATCATTTATAATAATCTTTTACTACATTTTTAAAGGAATCTCTGGAAGCCTGCAGAAATTTGGTCCCTGTATCCAGAGTGGTGCACAACATTCTCACCAAACTGGAGAAAACTTTTAATCTGTCACTTCTGACGACATTGTTCAGCCAAATTAACCTGCATGAATATCCCAATCTGAAGACAATTCTCAGAAGCTTCAGAAGAGGTAATGAGGTTTCTCAAATACTTTTTGCATTGAGAAGTTGCTATGAGAAAAGTTTGGATTTATTTCCAGCCCTGCGGAATATGCACTTCAACCCCCTCCTTTCTCCTTGGGAAGGGAGGGACCATACTGTCACAGCTGGGGCTGGAGAAGCAGTCCCTTGCTAACCCTGACCCCCACTCTCCAAGATGAATTTCTAGGGGACACAAGCACCTGTCTGTCTTATGTGTTCTATGAATTTGGGGAAAATTGTACAGTTTAGTTTGCTAGACAATCTCTAAGGAATGCATAAGGTGACAGGAATACCAGAGTTACAGAGACCAGGTCTGACGGAAGGACTAGGCGAGCCAGTGAAGAAGAGAAATGGATGGGGATTAATAATAATAAGTACTTTTTCTTTTTAGTGCATTATCCCAAATACTTTATATGACTATCTCATGTCATCTTTAAAACAAACCTGTGAAGCTGTTATTAGCCCTTGATTGACAAGGAAATTGAAGCTCAGAGGTAACCTTCCCAAAGTTTCTTGTCTGTTAAGTGACAGAGCCAGGTCCTGCTTGAGTGTCCCAATACCAGGGCCCAAGATTTTAACCCCTATTCTAAACAAGGACAGCTGGAAGGCATGGAAGGACTAGGCGAGCCAGTGAAGAAGAGAAATGGATGGGGATTAATAATAATAAGTACTTTTTCTTTTTAGTGCATTATCCCAAACACTTTATATGACTATCTCATGTCATGTTTAAAACAAACCTGTGAAGCTGTTATTAGCCCTTGATTGACAAGGAAATTGAAGCTCAGAGGTAACCGTCCCAAAGTTTCTTGTCTGTTAAGTGACAGAGCCAGGTCCTGCTTGGGTGTCCCAATACCAGGGCCCAAGATTTTAACCCCTATTCTAAACAAGGACAGCTGGAAGGCAGATAAGAGCTGGAGAAGGGAAGAAAGGTAGCTGTAGAGGAAGGGCGGGCGTGGTGGACACAGACACCGAAAGAGGATATGAGAACGAATGGAGCATGAAGTACACTGAGAAAGGAAAGTGTTGGCTGAATAAAGGAGTAGAAAAAAGAGCAGTGACAGAGCCGGGAAGAAGGATGCGAGGGTGAGAGGGGCAGGGAGTGAGGTCATCCCAGGTTGAAGGAAAAACACTTTGACCAAAGCACATGGTTCGCTTAACTGAGCATGACGAAGAAAGGATCACCCGATCGCACTGGATTGTGACATTTCCATTAGTGGAGTCACCACTGTTGATGGCTTCTCATCTGCTCTCTGACACTTCACCATCAAGAGGCTCCTCCCCAAAGAGAGAAATGATTCCTTGAGCTAAAGAGGCAGCCAAAGGGGAAAGTCCACCTCCAGGCAGGGGCAGCTGCACATGGTCCCCCACGCCTGGCAGCATTGGGACAGTGCCAGGAAAGACACGGACTCAAAGGCCATGCTAAGTACTTCTGAGAGCCAGAGGGACACAGGTGCTCATGTGCCCCCTGACCTGGCTGAGCTCAAGCATTTTCCTGGATCTGCAACTCTGTGATTTTGTTCTGGGTCCCTTCCGAAAGCCAGCCTTACTTTCCTTTTTCTGTTCACTGGTTGAGACAACTTTACTCTTGAAATAAACGATAAAAGGGGCTGGCTGGTTAGCTCAGTTGTTTGCGGGGTGGTGTTATAACACTAGGGTCAAGGGTTTGGATCCCCTTACTGGCCAGCCACCAAAAAATAAAACATTAAATTAAATTAAAAATGAAATAAGTGATAAGAAGAATCAGAAGAGACATCAGGCACTAGCCATGCAGGGGACAGCATGTGGAAAGCCAAGGGCCTGGGAGATGGGGGATGAGAGAGAAAGTTTGGTGTGGCCAGATCACAGGGTGCGACAGAAGGCACAGAAGCTGAATCTGCAGAAAGGAGCAGGAACTGGAATATAAAGTCTTAATACATCCTGCTAAGGAAAGTTTATTTTATCTTATTTGCTCTTGGGAGGTATGATATGCTTATTTATTTAAACAAAGACCTCTATTGAAAGTATAGCATGTACATAATTGACTAAATTCTACGAAACCGAACTTAAAGAAAATTAAATCCCTGGGTACAAACTCAAACTCAGCTTTATGTGTGAAACCACTTTGGCATTAGGTCAGGGGTTAGATGCAGTTATTGTAGCACTGAATGCCCAGATCAGATAAGTAAGATAGACAGGAGCACAGATGGACAACAGGTGATGAGTCGGTCCTGTGCACCGGGGGAGAATGAGTAATTCCCTGCTACTGGAAGTCATGTATTAAGAAATCCCCTTCCCCAGATAATTCCGAGTCTCCAGGGTGCTGATGTGTGCTCCTTCCCCAATCCCAGTTGGCACTTCCTATGGACAGTGGAGCAGAACCGCAGCCGACCCAGCAGAAGGGAGCTCCCTCCAGCCCCTGTCGCTGCTGCCCGCACCTCCACCCTCCCCACCCAGCAGTCCCCCCTGTGCGCCCGGAGTCAGTGAGCCTGGAGCATCCTCGCAGCAAAGCAATGAGACTCTGGGCGAACCTCCCAGCCCTTCGGACCCTGCCACTCCTCTCCCTGGACTTGTCCAGGAAAGAAGGAGCTCTGCAGGTGAGAAAAGGCCCCTGTCCCACACCTATGCATCCCCAGCTGAGGGTGCCTGGTCACCTACAGCCCCAGGGTCTGTCTTTTATTGATCCAGTCCTTCCTATGCACCCACCTACCCACACACAGCCCTTTCCAAGAAGGATTACAAGCACTGCCAGGGTGAGGCCTAGAGGCCAGAACACCTGCTTGCCAGCCCTGGAACATCCCAACCCTCTGCCCTTGGGCCTTGTGCTCCATCTGCCCCAGGCATTTTTATTATTCCTTTTCCTCCCAGACCTGGTAACCTGTAACGGGTTTTCTTCCTCCCTTCAGTGACCAATGACAACTTAACACCCAAAGTAAATGAGGAAGGAGACTCACGAGAGGTGCCCCACCCTCCCGCTGGCACTGTGCAAGGTAACGTTCCCTGGGGCTGACCTAGCCCAGCTCAGGCACCTGTGAAGGGAGAATAGTCACCTGCCAACCAGGAGACTGTGGCAAGAACCCCAGGAAAAGGAATCAGGCACAACAAAGGAAAAGAAACAGAGAGGGCCGATCCACCAACTCAGCAATGCAAAACAAACCAGCAATCAAAACCCAGTTCTGAGTTGACACGTAACTTGGCAACATCCACGTTGATGACCCTTACCCAGTTCCTTACCCGCACATGATTATGGGTGCCTTTGAGTTTCTACCTTATTCCTTTTTACATGGTTTGGATTCTAAGAGCAATGTTATTCAAATTACTAGAAAAGATGATAAAATGTTTAAAGGTCTGCTGAACCCGATTTAGCTTGTAAAATTGTGTCCTGGTCCTCCCCAAACCATCATTGTCGTGGAGTTTGATTACATTAAATATAACAGTGGTATATTATCAGGCATTGTTGAAAATGGTATCGTGGATTCTGAGCTCTTCAGTGCTGAGAATGAGGGGTCCCGTTTGATCCAAATACTGTTTCCTCCCCTCCTCTAATCCATACCATCCAAATAAGGTTAACCTAATTAGGATGCTAACAACTATGGAAGATTCCATCTTTTAGATTTTCAAAAGAAAAAAAAAAAGCACCATTGTCATTCACTCTCGTCCCTGACACCATGTCCCTGTAACCTGTAATGAGTTTCCTTCCTCCCTTCAGTGACCAATGACAACTTAATACCCAAAGTAAATGAAGAAGGAGACTCCCAAGAGGTGCCCGGCCCTCCTGCTGGCCCCGTGCAAGGTAACGCTCCCTGGGGCTGGCCTAGCCCAGCTCAAGGTGAAGGGAGAACTCACTCCCTCCTGGGAAGGGGCTCACGTACTGATGCAACACCTGTCGCTTGCTCTCCAACGCTATCCCACCCTTGCCCGGGCCTTGGAGCTCTGTCGCTCAATCGCTTTTAGTAGCTGGGATAGATTGTTCTCTTCTCTCCTCTCTTTGGTTCCTGTAATTCTTTTTCTCCCTTTAATCAGTGCCCAGTGACAACAAGACCTCCCAAATAAAAGATAAAGAAGACCCTCCAGAGACGCCCCATGCGCCCTCAGGTCATATGCCAGGTAATCTTGATTTGGTCAATTTAAGCTCGACTTTGTTTTCACGTCTACCAAGGGGAAAAGCCGCTCAAATCTTCTCGAGGTGGAGCGCTCCCCGCCCCCGCTGTTAGCCACCGTCCTGGCCTGGCTTCCAGCTGCTCAGCCAGCACTTGGGAGCTTGGGCACCAGAGACCCGAGCTCCTCAATGGAGATGGAGTCCTGGGGAGGGCAAGTGAGATGAGTCTGGAAAAAGTAGACTTGGAAGGGGGCACTGATGATGAGACAGAAGCCCTGCTGGTGCCTGCTACGCTTGGACTCCAGATGCCATGAAGTGTCTGCAAGGCAGAATATTCATCTGCCACAAGGGATTGTGGTGGGAACCCCAGGGGGAAAGGACAGGGGACAGAGTCAGGGCTGGACTGTTTGACTCAGGCACTCTGCTGAAGCCACTCCATAAGGTAATGCTCAAAACTGCTCTACCAAAATGCAAAGCAAACAGGAACGCTGTGGCCCTAACAGTGGTTGGCACAGCAGATGTGGGTAGTCTCCTTCTTAGCCTCCACTTTCACTTTCAACCCTGGTCATTTCTATGTAGTTTGGATCTTTAAGGGTACATCCTATTAAAAGAATTTGAAAAGTAATACATTAATTCAAAGGCCTAATGACTGCTTGCCACCTGCCTCAGTGACCTGTTCCTAAGCAGGCAAGAATTTGAGACAGAATTTGAGACAAGGTGAAATAAGCACACATAAAGCAGTTAAAGGATATTCACACGCAGACATCTAGGCACCAGCAGGTATTTTTCTATGGCAGAAACGTTGCCCTTCACTGCGGCCGTCAGTGCTCAGGGTCCCCTCTTCCCGCTGCTCTCAGCTGCCTCCCCTGAGCAAGGGCTGCTGAGGCCCCTGTACTTCCCTTCCATCTGGTAGGGGAATCTCTCCAAATGGATCAGACTGAGCCTCCGCTGGGGGACAGTTGTCTCCAGTCACAGAGGTAACAGTAACCACAAGTTGGCAAAATCAAGGCAGAGCCAGGGAACCCTTAGATGCGCTCTCCAGCGCTCCTGTTCTGTTGGCTTCTCTCAGCACCTTCTCTTCAGCCCTCTCTGAGCTCTGAAATGAATTCTGTTGCTTTTATCAGTGACAAGAGATGATTCTCCAGAACCAAATGATTCAGAAGAGCACCAGGAAGCATCCACCGCACCTCCAAACAAGAAAGGTGAGGCCCGCCTTCCTCCTGTGGACGGCAGGAGGGTGAATTTGGAGCTGCTGTCTGTTCTTCTGATCAAATCTTGTCATCAGCACCCACGATGTGACCACAGTCATGATGCCCAGCACGGTTTGCCTCTGCAGTTCTCATTTGCTGCACTTTTCTCAAAGGCCTTTGCAAAAATTATAGAGAAACCAGTGGCATTTAGAGACACTGACATACGCCTTCACTGGAATTTCCTGTTCGGAAACCATCAGTCTCATATTTACAACCTCTTAGAGTGTTAGTTGCACCAACCTCTTTAACTGAAAGTTGGTGCCCCTGAGAGGACACTGCATCCTCTTAAGACATGGTGTCTTATTTAGTCATGGTGTTCTCTGCCATCACCCCCACTTCAGGGTGGGGGACAGACTTGATGCACACCCCTTGCTGACCACTGCCCCATCCAGTCCCTTGCTCCCCCATCCTCTCCTTTGAGGCTTAACCATTCAATGACAGCACTCACTCCGTCCCTTCCATGCTGTCATCCACTGCCTGGCTGACCTCACCTGCGTTTCCCTCACCTCTGGTCCTGCCGTCATCCTGGATGTCGTCAAGGTACACACGGACACAGACAAGCCATCCAGTACTCTGGCCTCTCCGGTCCTTCATCTGCTCATTTCCAGTGACTTATTCCTCCACCAATTCTGGGCTTCCCATGCCCAAAGGATTTATAGGCCTTATCATCATTCAAACCTAGCTCTACTTCCCAATAATTATAAGTATTCCCTTTTTGGACATCTATCCTTGAAGTTTGCTCCTTCTACAGCTATCATTCAATCTCTGATCTCTCCTTCTCAGCCCAATCCTGAAAAATTACAAATATCCCTCTCCCTTCTCTTCCTTATTATCTGTTCCCTCTGCAGCTGCCCTTCAGCCTCCTTTGAGCACCGGTCCACTGGCCTTTCCCTCTTCCAATCCATCATCTGTCTTTCTCCACGCCCCTCCTGACCAGCTTAGTGTCCAAGATCCATCGTTCCAGTAACCCGTTGCCGCTCTCTCAACCTGCCTTGCTTCTCTGTCTTTTCCTAGAACTCTCTGGCAGGTCTTGGAGGAAACTTCGCATGTGCTTTCTGTATGCTGCATCTGAAAGTGTGCACTGCTGCTCCCTCGCGTCACACAGCAGCACAGAGTCTACCCTTGCTGAGTTTTCACGATTTTAGTGTAAATGATCCCTCCTGCAGTGATAATTTCAAACTTTGAGCTCTGGTTTTCAAATCTCTGACCCCTTTACCTCCTCCTTAGTGCTCAGCAGGTGACTTTGTCTCCTGCTTCGTATGAAGGTATGAGACAAGAATCCTTCATTTCTCACTGCTAGCCCTGCAAACACCAACCACTCCTGTCCCTCCCTCTGTCCAAGGCAATCCTCCCACCTCCACTTACACTGTGCATGATCCCTTCACTCTCTCAAGTTGTCAGTATCTCTCTGTCACCAGGACTTGCATCCAGCCCATGCTTAAGACTATCACAGCTCATAAAAGGAACTTTCTCTTGATCCTCATTGGACTTCAGCTGCCTTTAGAGCTCTCTCCATTTCGCAACCAACCTTCTAGAAATGAGTTCCCTTTGCTCGCTGTCTCCGTCTCTTTACTTCTCTCTTTCCTCTGTCACTTCAGAGTTTCTTCCTCCCCTAATACTCCATGAAGTCTCATTGCCTCATGTCCCTGATGACCTGCTAGCCACTGTGGTTAAGACCAAAAGTAAAAGCCAAACATCATTGACATGTAAGGTTGGCAGATCTGTATTTGTAACTATAAAAGATTGTCTTTATCCTTTCTCTTTAGGAAGGAAAAGAAAAAGATGTATCTGGGCAACTCCAAAACGGAGACGTCAGAAAAAAAGCTTCCCGAGAGGTAAGATGAGGACACAAGAGGAGGCTGGAGGCTGGACACGGCGCCTGCAGGGTTGTCGGTCCAGGTGTGGGTGCTCGATCTTATCCTAAATGCAGTGGGCAGCCGTTGAAGAGACCTAATCAGTGAAGTGACATGATCTGATTTGACATTTGACAAGACTATTTTTGCTGCTGTGTGAAGAATGAACTGGAGATGGGCACGCATGCAGGCAGGGCAGCATTTGGGGGCAGATGCCATGAGAGTCATTGGTAGCCTGGGCTGAGGTCTGGCGGTGGGGATGCTGAGAACAGGCCACTTCAAGATGGGTGTTGGAGGTGAAGTTGACAGGACTCGACAAATTGTCAATTGGGGATGGGAGAGAGAAAAATCGAGGCTTCCTCTTCAATTTCTGGCTTGAGTGACTGAGCGAATGGTAATGCCGTTGCTGAGGGCAAGTGCTAACATACTTGAGAGGGGACGTTTTAGATTTCAATTTTTGACCTGTTCATTTAGAGATATCAGCCAGCCATCTATGAGCTGTGCCAGCTGTGTGTTCTGTTAGGAACTGTGAAGGGTCCGAGACGTTACCCTGGTGCTATCCACCTTAATGGCAGGGTCCTTGCCTCTCGATTCTCTAATACTTTGCACTTACCCCATGAGAGGCACCTGGGAACCCTTGGATCTCTCCCTTACCACACACAGGCCCCAGGGGAACCTGGAGAGGGCTTCATAAGGCCCTTCTACTTTGTCTTAACAGGACTGCACAGCCACAGCCATTTCTCCCCTGATGTGGCCACTTCATGGTGCAGGGGTCACACAAACAAGAATCAGGAAACAAGCTCCACTGCTCTGGGATTTCCCCAGATTTATCTGGTTGATTTCAACGGTTGGTACCTAGGTTGAGAGCAAATGGTGATTTGGGGGGACAAAGGTGCACACAAGAAAAAAAGAGATAATTATAGATAAATAGCAGAAGAAAAGTGAGGTCCAGGGTAAGCAGTCTCCTGAAAGAGTGGGGGCTGGGGGCATGAGAAAGGAGGTCACTAACTGGGAGGAGGAGGCTCACTGGGGACCTCAATTTAAACTATTCACCAATCACTGCTTGGCTCAGGGGCAGCCTCACCTGGGCATGGAATCCAAGAGAAGCTCCAGGCGGTGGATCAGGTGACCCAAAGGAAGGACGACTCAACCTGGAACTTGGAGGTGACAAGGGCCCAAAAGGCGAGAACTGAAAACGCCCACATGTCCAGATCAGAGGGTAAGGCTGAGCGTGGGATCTGCCAGTGGAATGGCTCAATGTGGGAGGGTCTGTCACGGAGCAGGTGCAGGTTAGGTAGATATGGAAAGTCGGTAATATTAGGAGGGGGGGTACAGAGAATGATGCTGAAGTGTGACAAGAGGGACAAAGAGAGAGCAAGGATGCATTGCAGCTGAGGAGTTTTACTGAAGAAACAGATGTGATCACAGGGACAGCTTTCCTCACCTGTGGCCTATGGCAGCAGCTCTCAAACTTTTGGTCTCAGGACTCTTTTGGGCTCTTAAAAATGATTGAGGCTCCAGATTTTGTTTAGGTCTATCTATGTGTACCTATTTTTAAATTAGCTTTAAGTTTTTTTTTCCTTTTTGTCTTTTTTCGTGACCGGCAATGGATCACAACCCTCAGTGTCGCGCCCATACCGGACCGGGGACCGGCAACGGGATAACAACCCTCGGTGTTGCGTCCGCACCTCGCTCAGCCAGTGAGCGGGAACCGGTCTGTATGTGGGATCCGAACCCTCGGCGGGAGCGCCACCGCGCTCCCAAGCGGCGCACAGTAGCAGTGCGCCACTGGGCCGGCCCAGCTTTAAGTTTTTTAATTAAATAAATTTATTTGTTTACTCACTTAAAAGTAATAATAATAAACCAATTCCCTGTTAACATAAATAACATATTTTGTGAAAAACAAATATATTTTCCCAAGCAAAGCAAATTAGCGAGAAGTGTGGCGTTATTTTACACCTTTGTAAATCTCGTTAATGTCTGGCTTCAGAAAAGTCAGCTGGATTCTTATGTCTGCTATGATGCTCGATCCGTTGTGTTGTATCGTCTTGGTAAAAGTATAAGAAGAAAATCCAGCCTTACACAGATACACAGTTGAAAAGGGTGGAATATTTTAGCAATCTTTTGTGATATCTGTGGATGTTTGTGTTTAATACGACACCAAAACTTGACAAGCGGTAGTTTCTTAAACGGTAGTGGGAACGCAGAATCTGAGGCCACGTCAGCGTACTTTTCCCACGCTGCTACTGAAGTGCATGATGCCCTCCTGCGTTTCGAGTAGATGTTCTGCTCATGCAGTACTTTATACTGTCACTCACATTTGGAAACATTGTTCACAGTGAGCTGGCAGCATAAACAATCTCACCAGTATTTACTTTTTTGAGACCACCGTGGTACTTTAGGATACAGCAAAAGTGATTCATCTGTTATATACTCTCAGTTTTTCACAGAGAATATTAAAAAGATGTGCACCCAAGTGTACAAATGTATTTAAAATTAATTTTTTTTAAGGCTGGCCTGTATGGGGATTCGAACCTTTTTTTTTAAATTAATTAATTTTTATTTTTTATTTCTTGGCAGCCACCCAGCATGGGGATCTGAATCCTTGACCTTGGTGTTACAAGGCCGCATTCTAACCAGTTGAGCTAACCAGCCAGCCCTTAAAATTAACAATTTTTACTAGTTCATCAAGAACATTTTTCAGCGAATCCAGGTCTTTTTTGTTTCTTTTTATCAAGCTAAGGTTATCACTGCACTGGAGTACACTTTTTGATATTTTTTTCCTAATCATGACCTTCCCCATGATATTTTAATACCACAAATATATTATATATTCATTTGTATACCGTATATATATATATGACCTTTATACATAAAAAGAATTTTAAAATGTTCACACTCCAAGAACTGATTTTTGCACTCTTGGAAGCAGTCTCACCACCACCCTAAGCATAATCTTTGCATGATAACCCTGGATCAGTTTTTTCCTAGGACCCTGATCTCCATATTTCTCATGTAACTGTTCTGGGGAAATTGGGGAGAGAACAGCTCATCATAAACACAAATGCGACATTATGCCAGGGCATGTGTAACAACACAGTAGTGGGCGTGCGCTGGTAAATGGCACATGTTCATACGCCCCTCACCGCCGCTGCCGTTATCACATTTCTGGAATGAGTTTATAGCACTGTCTTTAGAGCGGGGGGGGGGGGGGGGGGGG